GTTAGGGCGGCTAGGAGCTGGAACCAACTTCCAAGGGAAGTGGTGCTGGCCCCTACCCTGGGGGTCTTTAAGAAGAGGCTGGATGCCTACCTGGCTGGACTCATTTGAGTCCCGTTTCTCTTTTTGGGGTTTTTTGTTGTTCTCCCGCCCTGGCGGGGGGTCGGGCTAGAAGATCTACTAGGTCCCTTCCAACCCTTAATCTATGAATCTATGAATCCCTACAAGGCAAGCTCCCCCTCTGCCTCCAACCCATGGCTCCTCTCCCTATGAGCCTTTAACTTCCTATCTCTAGCTAATCATCCTCTGCAGCTGGTCCAGTTCTATTAGGCAGCCTACAATCACTCTTGACTGCCTGCAGCAGACTTTAGTCCCCACCAGCCTGCAGACTCCTCCAGTTTGGAGCATGTAGTCTGCTGCAAGCCTTTGCCAGCTAGCCTACTACACACATGACTATAGGAAAGTGAGCAGGAAACATCCACTAAGGCAGCCAGGTCAGTCCCAATCGGTTTCTAGACTGCCTTCTGCCCTATAATGTTCCCATAGGTACCTATGTAAAGCTTTGGCCATCACTCCTCACCTGGGTCAGGGTATGTAGGCGTGCTCTCAAACAGTACAGAGGTGGCCCCATTGCAGAGTGGTCCATACACAACATAGCTGTGTCCTGTGATCCAGCCGATATCAGCCACACAGCCAAAGATATCACCTTGCTGGTAGTCAAAGACATACTGCAAAAATGCACAGAGAATTTGAATTCTCAGTAAAAAGCTGAAAGCTCAGTATAAAGGAACTGACATATGCTCCGTTGCATTGGTTACTTCAATTCAGCCAGCAAAAAAGGATGGAACAGGGCAAGCGCGGCACGGCACCTTTGGTGCCTTCCACTTTAAGAGGCTATAACAGACTGTGGAGTAGCTAGCAGGTGCAGTGTGGCCCAACAAGGTGGTCACATGACCACAAGAGGGTTCCTGGATTGGGGGATGGGTCTGGGCAGCCTCAATATAAACCCAGGCCCTCAGGGCAGAGCTAGCAATTGCTGTAGGGATGCCACTGGAGTAACACTGCCAAGCTGGAGCTGCTGCTCCCAGAATATCTGGAGATCAGGGTAGGAGCTATGGCGATGGAGGAGGTTCCTGGTCCTGGGGAATGACCTAAAACTACACCCTGCTGGGAAGGATGGTGTGGTGGGGCTGCTTGTGGTAGGGTAGTGTCCAGGAAATGCCACACCTGTGCCTCCCCAGTGAAAGGTGAGTATGGGGCACCTTATAACCTCAGCCCCCATGACCTGGTGGGTTACCCTGTAGAGGGGACAGGTGAGGGGTCTAAGCAGCGGCGATGCGTGGGGGGGTGCATGTGGATGCACATGCATCCCCTGAGCGTGGCGGTGCACCCCCTGCAAAAAAGTGCTGCCACCACTGTCAGCGGCGCCTGCAAGTCGTCACTGCTTGCCCCCTGCTGCCGACATCACCTGCAGCATTTGCAGGTGGTCCACGATTGCCACTGGCTGCCGCCAATGCTGCTGGCACTGCTTGCAGGTAGTCGCCAACCCTTGGTCGGCACTC